TGATACAGTAAATTGATTTACTGACAGACGTCTGCTTTTGGACCTGCCGCTGCTATGACATGACTATGACATAAAGAGCAATATTACTGAGAAAAAGAGAAAAATCCTGCCCTTGTCTGGAAAACATTTAGTTTTGTGTGTGTTTGTTCTACAAGTAGAATATTGTTGTCTCTAGCTAAGCTCAGAATCAAGAATCAAGCTCAGAAAGTTTTCTGATTGATTCAGAATTGTTGAAGTGAGAATCTTGATCTATTTTCTCCCACCCCATATTTTGCCATATTATAAAGCAACTCTGCATTCATACTGTATATTTGCAGTGAAGAAAATCCCATAATGCACTGCATCAAACTCTAATTCAATATGGCAAGTGAAGTGAGATGATTATAAGTATATACGTTTATTTTATACTGGAAATAATAAAAAAAAAGGTTTCAATCTAATTAAAACTATTATACCTAATATTTGTTTCCCCTTCAGGAACTCAAGCTGCGTCAAAATGCTATGGGAACGCCTTCAGAGTGACCATGCTCTGAATCTCATGTGTAATCAGTTCAGTGGATGGACGAGATGTCACGGGCGGGGTGACGTAACGACCAGGAAGCTTAAAAGCACGTGCGATGGAACCTGCGTCAGCTTTCTGTCATTCAGCAAGCGCTCTCTGTGTGTGTGTCAGTCGCTATCTGTTGTGAGTCTTATTTAGTGTTGTTTGTCCACTTATAAGCTCAGTCAAAAGAAGCATTTAGGCGAGAGCAGGCAGCATTCAGGCTGTGTGTTCCTACCTGCCCGCCCTATATTCAGGTGGGGACACAGTTTGTGTGTTGTCTGCTTGGGAGCTCTCGAGGGAGCTGACTGCTCGCATTGCAAGAGTTTGTTACTGCCTTGCTTCGCTCTCAGAAGGCTCTCTTTGAGGAAGGAGCCATCACTAGCGTTTCTCGCTGTGCCGGCCCCGCTTTCGCCGAGGCACTGACAACACAGCAGTGGTCTCTTATATCAACCACCAAGGAGGTCTGCATTCGCGGCCCCCTGTACAGGTTGGCGCACCAGATCCTTGTGTGGTCCCAAGGCAAACTCCTCTCGCTGAGAGCAGTTCACATTCCTGGGCATCTCAATATGGGAGCAGACATCCTGTTGAGGCAGGGGCCGAGGCCCGGGGAATGGAGACTTCACCCCGAGGTGGTGAAGCAGATATGTAGAGCTTTTGGCCAGGCTCAGGTGGACCTGTTTGCGACTCGAGAGACATCGCACTGTCCCCTCTGGTTCTCTCTGACTCATCCAGCTCCTCTCGGACTGGACGCTATGGTACAGACGTGGCCAAGGCTTCGCTCTGCTCCGGGGAGTTCTGGAGAGAGTGCGCCGGGACGGGGTCTGTCTTCTGTTAGTAGCCCTTTTCTGGCCGGGCCGATTTCTCTCCTCAACGGCTCTCCATGGGAGATTCCTGTCAGGCGGGATCTCCTCTCAAAGGCGGAGGGCACGATATTCCACCCCCGCCCGGAGCTGTGGGTGTGGCCCCTGAGGGGTCACAACTCGTAACTTCTGGTCTCTCAACCGAGGTTGATGAGACCATCCTCCAATCTAGAGCTCCCTCTACGAGGAAACTGTAACTGAAACTTCTTGGTGCGGAGACCGCCAGCTTATCCCAGTTAACTGCCCAGTTGGTACAGTTCTGGAGTTCCTGCAGGCCCGTCTCTCCGCAGGGTTGACCCACTCCACCCTAAAGGTCTGTGTGGCGGCCATTGCGGCCTACTGCACCCCTATTGGTGGCCAGTCAGTGGGCAGACACCCCCTGGTTGCACGTTTCCTCCGCGGTGCGCTGAGGCCTCCAGTCTCTCTGTAAGCCTCCCTTCGAGCCTGTTGAGGAGATTTCTGATCGCCATCTCACTATAAAAACTACATTTCTTCTGGCAATATCTTCTCTCAAGAGAATTGGGGATCTGCAGGCCATCTCAGTGGCCCCTTCATATCTTGACTTTGCGCCCGGTTTGGCCAAAGTGTTTCTCTACCCTCGAGCGGGGTATGTCCATGAAGTACCCTCCTCTACACCACGGCCTGTCGTACTCCAGGCCTTCTGTCCTCCTCCCTTCCGGGAGCCCGACCAGCAGAAGCTAAGAGAAGTCTTCCTGCTATTAAGCAGACCCTCAGCCGGTAGATTGTAGATGCCATTTCCATTGCTTATGAGTCCTCTCATCTCCACTCGCCGTTGGGGGTCAAGGCTCACTCGACTAGAAGTGCGGCTCCATCCAAGGCCTTTTTAGCAGGTGTGCCTAAGCAGGACATCTGCTGCACTGCGGGTTGGTCCACACCCCTCTCGTTCATCAGGTTCCACCGCACATGCTTTTAAGCTTCCTGGTCGTTACGTCACTTCGCCCGTGACGTCTCACCCATCCATTGGACTGATTACACATGTGATTCAGAGCGTCCCTTCGGGGAACCATGGTTACATGCGTAAATTGGAGACGATATATCATAAATTTATATTTTTAGTTTAGCAGCATTCTAATGTCAAAATGTGGCATTCAGAGTTTACTTATTTTACATATTAAAAACAGTTTTTCACGTGTTCCAATTCAGTTACTCACTGTTACTTCCTTGGTTGGTTACTGTAACTCCCTTAGAAGTCAATTGCCTATATAAGTTAACAAGAGATCTCACTAGACTACGAGTGATATTTGCTTCAATTCACTTCAATACTCTTACAAATAGAAAAAATTACCTTGATATACTTTTGTTTTCTATTGTTTTTAATTCTATTTCTTTAAAAAATGTCATCCTATGGATATACTGAATATATGGATTAACTGCTCACTGTAGTTGAGGTGTAAACGTGTGTTAAGAGGAAAGCTTTTCTGATATGAAGTAAACTTGTAGAGTTGTAGAGTTATTTGCACACAAATAGGTCATTCTGAGTTACAGGCACTTCTGCTCATCGAAATGACACATGAAAGGCAAATAAAGATCTTTCAGCTTTCATTCTGAGTATGATGCATGAGAGCATTTCAACCAAGTAGTTTATGTGTCAGTGTGCCTTCTGACTTTATGTTAGGTTCACCTCCTTGTTGGGGGAAAACAAATATTTAGCTGGTTTAAGCTGACCTACAAGTTGAACAAACTTTTTTTGTTGTTTTTGACCCACTGAAAAACTGCCCAAAACTCTTCTGAAATCATAGAAACTGATCAACCAAAGCAACTACATTAAGGCCTAACTTAAAGGGGTCATGCTGGAGAATCAAAAGAGGTTAAGAGGTTACTCTTAAAGATGATGAATAAGACCATCAAATTCAGATGTTCTGTCAGTAAATGTAAAGAAACATGAATGACATACCTGAGCGACTGAAAGATTTATTTTTATTTTTTTATTTTTTGTTCTTCACATTTCACAATAGACTGTGAATTACTCTACATGTTTCTGGGTATTTTTAAACATGTATTTTCAAAACATCTTTTATTGAAATATATGGCAGTGCCAAGTTTATCTTGGGATTCAACTCAGGTAAGTACATTTATTTTTAATCTTACAGTTTGTGTTTGTATTAAAAATCATATAATTGTTTGTGTTGCTAATGAAATCAGTAGATAGCTGGATCAGAAATATTTGCTTGAGTTTAATACTTTATATTATGTGAACTGAATGCATTTTACTATAGTTTATGTTACTGTTGCTAATAAGAACCCTTCACACAATGGGTAACTAGTGTTTTACTGTCAACCACCTTCAAGAAATTTGTTAACAGTAGTCTGTTTTAATTTATTTTGCTTCGGGATTTGACTCGGGCTCAAACATATACAGATGTATGACAGTGCTTGCCATCTTGAGTATCAAAACACATGACATGCATACGGTGCGCTGAAGTTAGCCAATCACAGCAGTGGGTGTTTACTTCTGTTTCTGCAAGAGGTAACTTGATACTGAGCTTTTTCACAGAGAGTGAAAATGAAGACGGAAAATTATCACTTTTACAAATACTAAACTTTACAAATTGTATAAACTAACATCAAGAAAGATAACATAGCCTAAAAACCTGAAATCTGCATTTAATGACCACTTTAATATTCATTGCATACAGGAGTTTGACTAGAAACAATAGATTCCAGTGGACCTATTCAAACCTGGCACATCGCCAGTTCTATTGAATAATACTTACAGAAAAATAAATGTGATATAATATAAGGTATAAAATAGAAGTAATAACACTTTTTATTTTTTACTGATACACAGAAGCATTATGGCTATAGATCTGGCTATTTCCGACCAGTCTTATAGAAGTATATATATTAGGGGTAAACAATGGGTTATGAAAAGCATCTGCTAAATGCATAAATGTAAATGTATGTAAAATGTAAACATGGTACTGATCTTTGCATCTATGCATTAAAGGAAATAGTAAACAAGTATAGAGATAAAAACCCATCAGTCTCTATGTGCTTCATTGATGCATCTAAAGCTTTTGATCAGGTTAGCCATGCAAAGTTATTTTTTAAAATGAGACAAAGAGGGGTGCCAGAATACATTGTGAGAATCCTGGCTTATCGATATGCCCACCAGATGATGCAAGTAAAATGGGGCAATAAAGCCTCTGCCCGTTTTTGACCTCCGTGAAGTGGGCCCCCCACCCAACGCAAAAGTCGCAAAAATAGTCTCAATCGTTTGTGCTCCGTTTGTGCTGGTTTGTGCTGTAAAATTTTTCGTTTGTGCTGCCGTAAAAAAAAATTATTTGTGCTGCTTTGGTTATTAAGATATTAAAATAATATTTAATGTTGTTTTTGAGGTCACTCAGCCCCCCACCCGCTCCAAATTCACCCGAAATAGTCTCGTTTGTTTGTGCTGGTTTGTGCAGGTAAAAGTTGAGTTTGTGCTGCTTTGTTTTTTAAAATATTAAACATTATATTTTAGGCGATGACGTCACCAGCCCCCCTACACGCTCCAAACTCCCCCAAAATAGTCTCAATCGTTAGTGCTTCGTTTGTGCTGGTTTGTGGAGGTAAAAGTTTCGTTTTTTTTTTTACCATACAGTTAAAGTAACAAGGTAAGATCCAAGAGGATCCTAGTTAAGTTACCTATCGACTGTTTCCAACTTATAACAGACACAGTGGATCACAGGATAAGTGGAATGTAACACCAACTCCAAGGTAAATGTTTTTACTTGTTACTGTGTGCCATTACGTGAATAACAGTATATGTCATAAATACACGCACCATAATATGTTTGCTGTATCTCTGTGTTTATACATACGTGTGTGTGTGTGTGTATTATATGCATGTATGTATGTGGAAACTCATGACTCAATGAATTGTCAAAATTATTTTACTTGTGAAACTGTATTAAAGTGTACTATCGGACATCCATTAACACAAATAATGGACTTTTAAAAACTTAAACTTAAAAACGCTTAATACTGACAAGCCATGCCACACTGTCTGCCTTCAAACCAAAAGTGCCACACAGAATAATAGATTTAAGTGCAAACTCCATCAAGTCTGACTTCCAGAAGAGCAGAAACAACTTCTCCAAACAGGAGTAGGAAAACATGGGTGTGTGGCTTACAACAAAAATACTTGTGAGATTACATGTAAACAGTGCAATCAATCTTTTGTGTATAACACTGCATGTGGGCATATTTTGTTTTTTTCTGACACTCCTGTCACTCCACTTCTCAGGTCGTCATACATCTCCCAGACACATGGAGACCTCCTGCAGTAGGCCACATAATGTCCAAGAGCATCCTGGATTAAGCCTCCTTTGAAAGCAATGACTGCCCTTAAAGTAAATCTCTCTCCTTGGAGCATCAGATTGGAGGGAAATTCACTCAAAGGAAATTCTATGGAGTTGCTTCCCAGGTCAGTGTCAATCCACAGAAGTTCTCCTAGACTGTAACTGTGAGAAACTTTCCCTGCACAGAGCACTTTTCCTGATGTAGAGTCTGTCTTGAATGCAGAGGGACACTGTGATGGACTTTGGATTGGCCTGAGACAGGGGGAGTCCGGAAGGTTAAGGCCTTCTTCCACTGCCGTCTGAAGATAAGCGATGCCAGAAGCCTCCAATACAGCAACAGAAGTACAAACAAATGGTATTTCCCTTGTGACTTGTGTGCTGTGACTGCAATACTGTGAGGAGCACTGTTTTGTGAAGTAAACACATGCATGTTTTGTCACTGATTTTTCAATGATAGTGGAGATGTGGCACTGCGCGTCGATTTGGAGAGCACCAGACTTCAGTTGGACAGGTTTGAATATTCCACTCAGCAGCTCTGCCCTCTGTATGTAGGCCTGTGCATTCAGACCCTTTGTGGTGATGGTTTTCACTAGCTGGAGGAGGTTGTTGGAGTCCTCACCACAAACAATATTTGCAAAGGTGACACTATCACAGAAAGCACAACATAAGCATTGACAAAAAGCATCAAATGCACATGTGTTCAGCACAGATATTCTTGATTTCCTGAGTTTAACAGGCTGTTGATTATTTCCATTTTTCAACAGTTCCACTTTCAGTCTTTTCCCCCTCACAGATGGATCTGCATGGAGCCATTCAGGACAAGGAGAGAGGTATGAATTCCTCTTTCTCTTTTTGGGTGGAAGAGCTAGGCCTCTCCAGTTTTCAACAGGGTCTTCATCTGTTGGATGGATGATTGTGACAATGTCAGACTTCCCAGAACAGGAAGCATCCATTTCTGGTTTTACACCTTCACTGCAAGTTATGGTTGGTAGAGGATTGGCTTCTTTGACGATCGCTGTTGCAACAGCTGCATCTTCTTCACCTTTTTCTTTACTTTTTTGTTTTGCAGAACAAATGCGCATGTTGCCTTCAATGAAGGACAGATGTCGAGCAATGAATCGATCCACCCGAATTTTCATGCTTTCATGCTTGAAAAGGCCACGTTTAATGTTTTTGAATTCTGCTTCAGCATTGGCTGAACTTGCAATGATTTCGGAAGTGAGGAAGTGAGGGATCATTACCCCTGTCCAGAGTGGTAAGTAGCTTGCAAGCCAGATTATATTGGGAATAATCTCAGGGAGGAAGTGCATATTATCATGATCTCCATTAGCCACAGCAAGTGACCTGCTTTCCTCACATATTTCTGTCACCCACTGCCGTAGGTCTGTCTGCGTTTGGTCACCCACCCACTGCGTTTGATCTGCTTTTTCCAGGTTCTCGCCCTCTACATCTGGAATGATGACACACTCTTCTGCAATTCGGGCTTTCAGGTATTTCTTGCGCCTTTCTGATATGAGGGGGACTCCAGAGCTGTCATTGCCCTCTGTTTCACTGAGAGCCACAACAGTAATGCTGCGTAGTAGCTCTCTAGCATCATCCATGGATTGTGACTTTAGAAGCTGTGCCATTGACGTCACAAAGAAATCTTGAACGCGATGTGCTTTTTTCTTCAAGCAGTCCCACTGGCAGATCATCTTGATGCAGTGTGCAACATCAACCCGAACAAAACAAGGTGGCACTTTTGCAGACTGATTACCAAGTAAGACGCCACAACACACATTAATGTAGGTCTTCAGATCAGGATGAGGAGTAAAAGCTTTGACCAAAGCTCTGAGCAAAGCCAGTGAAAAGTCACTTACAACCTTACAACCTATTTTGGAGTTGGTGCACCTGCACGTGTCCATTCTGTCAGCCAATGTGTTATTGCATTAACATCATGTCTCTCTGACAGCATTTGCACGACTGGGACACTTGAGCTCTCATTACCTGCCAGAACGCCCTGATATAAGAAGACATGGCCAGACATGCCGTTTGGTCTCTGTAGTTTCCTCACTACTGAGCCAGTTGCATCAAAACTCACAGTGGGGTTAGTAGATGTCTTTGATAATGACTTGTACATATACATTTGTAGGGGGGCTGGTGACGTCATTGCCTAAAACATAATGTTTAATATTTTAAAAAACAAAGCAGCACAAACGAAACTTTTACCTGCACAAACCAGCACAAACGAAGCACAAACAAACGAGACTATTTCGGGTGAATTTGGAGCGGGTGGGGGGGCTGAGTGACCTGAGAATGACCTTTAAATAAATATGTTATATCTAACAAACCAAAGCAGCACAAATGAAAATTTTTACAGCACAAACCAGCAGAAACGGAGCACAAACGATTGAGACTATTTTTGCGACTTTTGCGTTGGGTGGGGGGCCAACTTCTTTTGGGGTTAGTAATGGTGTGAGACAAGGAGGGATTTTGTCCCCAATTCGGTTTAATCTTTACATGGATGATCTATCTGAATGTTTGATTGCTTGTAAAACTGGGTGTATGATTGGGAATATTCTAGAATATTCTAATCATATTATGTATGCAGATGATCTTGTGGTGTTTAGTCCTAGCATTGCTGGTCTTCAAGAGCTTTTAACTCTTCTTGATTCTTTTAACTGTTCTGATTATGGTCTTGAACATGATATTTTATATAATCCTGATAAGAATGTGGTTATGATTTGCAGAACTAAGGAGGATAAAAGCATACAATTTCCAGTTTTCAAGTTGTCTAATAAGAGTCTCACTGTGTGTGCGAAAGTAAAATACCTTGGACATTTCATCACTGAACGCATGACAGACGATGAGGATATTGAAAGGAAACGCTGTATGATGTATATGCAGGCGAATATACTTTTACGTAAGTTTAGTTTCTGTTCAGATGAGGTGAAGGTGTCACTTTTTAAAGCATATTGTACAACACTGTACACTCTTAAAAATAAAGGTGCTTCACGATGCCATAGAAGAACCTTTTTGTCTAAATGGTTCCATAAAGAACCTTTAACATCTGAAGAACCTTTCTGTTTCACAAAAGGTTCTTTGTGGCGAAAAAAGGTTCTTCAGATTATAAAAAGGTAAGAAAGAGATGGTTCTTTAAAGAACCTTTGACTGAATGGTTCTTTGTGGAACCAAAAATGGTTCTTCTATGGCATCGCTTGAAGAACCTTTTGAAGCACCTTTATTTTTAAGAGTGTATACTGCTCATCTGTGGTTCAACTATAGAACATCTAGTTTACAGAAGCTGCAAGTAGCTTATAATGATGCAATGATAATTTTACTAAAGAGACCTAGATGGCATAGTGCAAGTAAAATGTTTGCGAGTGCAAGAGTAATCACTTTTAAAGCACTGTTACGAAATCTTATGTATAGATTTATCTGCCGGCTAAATGCTTCAAAAAATTTGATTAGTGTGGGTCTATCAAATATAAGGGTTAGTACTACACGGTATCAGTCAAAGCTGTGGAGACATTGGTATTGTTGTATTTTGTAACTTTTTATTGTGTGTGGTAGATGCTGTGGGTTGTATATGTTGTCCTATTGTCTTGTTTTTTAATTTTTTTATTTGGACCTTGAGTCTGTAATAAAGATTGATTGATATGTCATGTTGTCAGTGCTAAGATAAACAGTGTGTCTATCATCTGTTGTATCCGAAAAAATCTGTTTGTCAATTGGTGCCACTAATTGTACAGGAGTCATTCGTTTTTCATACCCTGTTTCCATCATTCTTAATGCAGTTTTCTTGTGATATTTGTTGGATTTTCATTTCACATTTGGTGCGAATAGAGCATTAGGCTATCCAATGATATTTTACTTCCAACTAACCCAGTGGTATTTCTAGACAGGTCCATCCGTAATGAAATGTGTCTAACTTCTTGTTTGGATGCCCTGTATGGGAGCCATGCCCAGTTAAATACAGACGCTTACTCGGCCATTAGAAATCATAACAAGAGAAGCACTATCATCCATTCAGATATAAGCCATGGATGCATGAGTTCCACTATACACAAACAATAAACGACCTAAAACTCACAGTCACTCTTAGGGCCCTGCCTTCTCATCA